TCGCATCCTGCTGCTTAGAAGCCGTGCACGGCAACGGTGGAGGGCGTGATTCGGGCAAGTTTCACCTTTCTTGTCGAAAATTTGGTCCAACACAGATTTTTCAATATTTCTTTGATTGTTCCAAGTCGAGCTCTGCTCTCGCTTTTAATTCCGAGTGACGCCTCAATATTAACTGTAGAGGCATGTCTGACAATCTATTTCTATACTATAACATTAAATTCCTTTGATGCTTCTTCAATTTATAATTTATATTGACGGGATTGTCTATACCTTTCCGCTAATAATTTCATATCAATTTAAAATAAAATCTATCTGCTTGTATAACATTTGAGTTCCTTTGATACGCCTTCCAAAGGTTTCTCAATTGTACTACTAGCTGAAGCTTTCTTAAAAGAAAAAGAATTTCAGAAGCTTCAAATTTAAGGTACAAATTTGTGTTTAACAATATAATGATGACAATCACTGAAACGTTAAAAGTATGATAAGCCAATGTTAGACATTTTTGCCGTTATCATGAGCTGTTGTAAAAGCGGATAATAAAAAAATACATACATTATAAAATTAGTTAACTTTGACAGTAATTTCTCAAATGAATGAGAGTTAGATGACAACTTTCAACCTCAAACTTTAGGTAATTCTGATGAATACTCTTCAAATGAACAATAAAATACATATATAAAATATATTTGAAACGTCACTGAAACGTTAAAGTATGATAAGCAAATGTTAAAAATTTGATTTAGAACGGATATATTAAAAGAACGTAATATAAACGTAATGAAATCGCAGTAAAGAAGCAAAATAATTACCATAAATAGCAAATATACAACCGATTACAAGGTCGTCCCGTGAATAAAAAAATTTTTTATGAAAATGTTAACGACTAAAGTTATGAGAAGCAAAGTAAGGCAATGCAAAAAAGTTATTACAACTATAACTTGACTCTTGGACTATCATTTGAATACTTACTTATCAATTCTTCCATCTCGAACATTCTGGGCCATGTAGCTGACAAAAGTTAGCAGCTAACGCTTTGGACTGAGGCAAAACTTACAACTCTGGCCATAAAGTTGAGGGGCGAATTCTCGTGCTTATTGTTTTTGTGGCGCATATTTTTTTGTGTTTGTTCTTTTTCTTTTGTTGGCATTCAAATTTCGCGTTTGCTGTTTCTGTTTTTTTTTTTTATGGCCAATGCAAATTATACTTTATTAAAATGTCTTGTCGTGCGGGAAAGTTTGACGTGGTGAAAATTTGCATTGTGGCGATGCTTTTGATTCAGCTTCTGCAAATCATTGAACAACTTGTTTAAACTGCTCAAAATAATGAGTACGACATACTCTACGTGTAAATTAGCTGAAATGCTCTAGTGGTGCTGTTGAATAAAGTGAGAGCTAAATATAAAAGGAACTATTATTTTCTATGCTCTGCTGCACTTGAGTTTAAAATGCTATGAAAACAAATCCTGATTCAAATGTCTATCTATAAGTGACTTCTTTGTTGCAAGCTGTCTTTCTGCCCCGTAAACTTGTCTAGAAAGCGTCCCCCAAACATTCTGAATCATATTAAGGTGTGGGGAATATGAAGCTAATCCACTTCCTGTGCTGAATTCTCGTCGTGATTGCGCGGGCGTTATGGATTAGAGCATTATCTTGTCGGATTATAAAGCAGATTTTGCAATACAATTAAGGTTTTTTCTAAAACATTTTTAAAGCCACGGTATTTGTGTTCGATGTTCGATTGCCGCCGCATTTCATTGTGTACGTGTCTGCCTTATATCTTAAGTTAAAACGCGTTGGATTAGCATTTTTAGTTTAAGATACATACATATCGTTCTTTATTCATAAATTAAATTGTTTGTATGTTTGTGTAAAGACATTCATTATGTTGTATACAGATTAAATTTAATAAATTTAAAAAATCTTATGCATATAATTATTGGTTTTGGTATTTTACTCAATGAATTCGGTATGAAAGTTGTTTCAAAAATATTTTGAAAATGCACTTAATCTAAACACAATAACAATAATAACAACAATAATACAAGTTATGCTCACTCTTAGCAAGCCGAATGGCAACATTTAAATATAATATAATTATTTTACAGCTGCAATTAAGCACTTGACTAGTCTACATGTTTTGCATTGTTTTCATAATTAAATATTCATCGAGTTAATATTAAAATATGTTCCATACGAGTACTCGTATGTTAATTAATACTCAATCAATTGTTGTGCCATTTACAAAAAAATAAAGATATCCGATAATTAATTACATTTGTGGCGCATTACTCTTAATAATTATGCGAATCATTTGGAATTATTTATTGTTCGTATTATTTTTATGATTAACGCGATTGAAAATATTTGTTGGGGCTCAATTTCAAATATTTCCATCATAATGCATGAACTGATTTATACATCTGCTGCAAATATGCAGCAATAGTGTATATTATGTTTATGTTAAGCCGTGCTGCATTTGAATGCGCTCAATTTAATTTAAATTTAAATTTATGTGTAAAGTCATTGAAGTGAGTTATGCATGTGGTTTGGCACAGCAAAAGCGATGCAGCGATTGGTCAGTTCAAACTTCAAATTCATTCGAGCCTCCGTTCAAGTTGTTAGACAAACAACATTTATTTATGTTGACCAGAACAATACGAGTATGTCCAGTCACTGCGTTTCTTTTGTGCACCAAACTTTAGCATATTTGTAATTCTTCTGTATCAATTACCTTCGTGTTTTTATTGGCTATTTATATTTACTTTTTGGTTTAGTTAAAATAACAAATATTTCGTACTAGGCAAAGCTATTTTTATTTGCTTGTAGACTTGACCTTTTAAAACACAAACACTAGTACAGTGTTTCCATGGAATCATTGTCTGAGTTTTTTGATTCAGCGTAATTCGTGGCTTTGTAGGCAGCCAATTAAGCGAACAATTGAATAATCATTGAAGTTTTTGGTAATTTCCAGAATAGAAATAAAACACTTTTACAATTTTCGTTGGATTTAAGAAAACTTTATTAAAGTGGAATTGCAACTTTAAGGGCATGTTGAAATTTCTGCTTTTTAAGTGAATGCAAACAAATTAGGGAATTGAACTAAAGCTGGCTTTTTTATTTATTTATACCAGTAATATATAGATAAACTACATATGTATATCTATAATGAAATGAAAATTTTCCAGCAACCTAGGGAAGTGGTATAGCATCAATTAAATAAAAGTTAAGTTAAAAGTGTCAGTGTGTTTGAAGAGAGCATCAGGTTGTTGGTGAAAATGCTGCCTTCAACTTAGAATTATTTGTTTACTTTAAATCTCATTCAAATTTGTAAAAAACCTAAAAATGTAGAAGTAAAACACAACCTTTTACTTAAGAACTTATGAGTTTTAATAAATAAATAATTTCAAAAGCTGCTAAATAATATCTAGATGCCGAATAAGTAAGTTTTGTTCGCCGTTCTGTCATACAAACTTGGTAAAAACCCAAAAAATCTAACAAATTCTTAAAGCTTTATTTTTAAAGGCAACATGAATGTAAAGTCTACACTCCATGAAGAATTTTCTTTAAACATTTCATTTGCGTTGAAAAGGTTCTCATCTACAATAAAAACATAAGCGACATCGGTCATGAAAAACTACTACTTGATTTTTTTATTGTGACCTAATGTTTATGTTTATTTTTCGTATTTTTCATATCATTTAAATGTAATTTCTCTATCCATATATAGTAAATACGAGTAGCAACCCATTTTAAGTTTCAATCGTTGCCGACAAAAATTCGTAGTGTTTGCGTTGCATACTTTTGGGCGTCGCATGTCACAAAAATGCACGAAATGAATCGCAACCGGAGAGAAAGAGACATAGAGAGAGCAGGCTAGCAAGTGTTTAATAATTCTATTTAATTTATATCGTTTTTTTGTGCACTACATTACATTATGCAAGACACACACACACGCACACACATACCAACGAATCGTTGCAAGGGTCGCGCATTATAAAGCAGGTGAGGCGTGTGTGTGTGTGTTGTCCAAATATACATATATAGTACAACATTTTTACAGCTTGCTTCACAAAATGCTGAGCACACACTACACGACAGTTTTATCAATGAGCTGCAAAATGTGCTGAGTGCGTCCACGCTGCGTATGAGTGATATAAAATTTTCTTTTTATTGTTCTGTCATTTTATGGCATACGTGCGCTCCTATGTGCATCTGTGTGTGTCTGTGTGCAGGTTGACATTCCCGGTTGTTAAACCGCAGCATGTTTTTGTTAGCTTTTCAATATGCTGCGCCCAAAAGCAGGCCACAATTTTATGCATCATTTTACAGTAGGTGTAAACACATACATATTTATGTATATCTTGTATGTTTATCTATGTTAATATACGTAAGAACTAACTGTAACATAAGCCTAGCACCAAATATGTCCAAATGAAAACCTCAAACTTTACTTTGTACCAAATACAAAATGTGTATTTTTACAACAGCATCATCATCATATCATCACCAGCATCAATCATTATCATCAATCACCATCAGCATCATCATCATCACTTATATACGCGCACAAACACACAAAGAGTGTCGTGTTTAGAACACGCCCTCCGCATTTTGAGCAAAATCAACAAATTTACAATGGCCTTCTAACTACGCCACAGGTGGTGTCACATCCAAGCACAATTGATGATCTGTGGCACCACTCGCCTTGTCAACCACAACCACAATGGTTTGAAAATGTGCTGTTGACGCTGCTGCTGCTGCTGCCGTCGGCGGCAACGTATCCAGCGTTAGTTGATCCTCCTGTTGTCGCTGTGGTTGCTGCTCATTCCGTGAGCGTCGCTTCAACACATTAAGTATGCGTGTGAGTAGGCTGCTGCGACTACGTAATGGCGCACCCTGCACCGCCTCAGCAGCATTGTCCGACGCCTCTAACGCCCCGCGACTAGATATGCGCTCTAACGGCGGCATCGGCGCCGGATAGCAACGCTGCTGATTCCTATGCTACAGATTCGTCACTTGTGTGTGACCCGTTGTTGTGGCCGTCACCAAATGTGGCTGCATGTGGGATCCCTTGTCTGGCCCCGCCACCGAACGTTGCAGGCCGTCAGCGCGTGCTGCCGCCACCTCATCTTGGGCCACTGGTAGCCATTTGTCCAGGAACTTTGGGCGAAATAGCAGCGTGAATGTGCTGCGAAATTGTTTGCTCATCGAACAGTAGAGTATAAAATTAATGCTCGAATTGATGAGCGCCAAAATGTCCATAAGATCACCTACAACAAGAGCAATACAAATAATATGAAATCAATTGACCGTTTCAAGAATTGCAAGCAAAGTAGAGCCAGACATGAACTGCAGACTGTAATGGAATTACTAGCTTATTTATTTGTCAAGAATGGAAATAATAATAATTTTAATCTATGTGGTTACAATGGGAATAGGGAAACATTGCCGCCTTAGGTAAATAAAAGAAATATAATGAAGTTCTAGAATTTTGGAACTATTATATAAATACAGCGTGAGAGAATCGGGGGCAAGGAATGAGGTCATAAATGCTAGATTAGCCCTGGTAATAAAACAACAAACTAAAAACAGTGATATTCCTAAATAGTTGTTGTTGGTGCTTTATTTAAGATCTGTCCTAAAATAACAATTTTTTAATCAGTTGATATGCCTTGAGTAGTGGCATCTTACAAAGGACAAGGTTGCACGAATTTTCAAATTTAACTTCTAGGTTAGAAACTAAGTTGTTGGATTAAGAAAAGACAAACATTAAAAGTTATTCTGAATATTCATCTAGGACCAAAAAGAGATAAGAAAAATGTTTTCTAAATTAATTTTTACAGAAATTTGACTCTGCAAGATCATAAGCCTACATTTTTAAATAGAACGTCTCTTCTAAATATTTGTAAGGGTTCAGAAATGTGAATAGATGCCAGAAATATTGTTTCAGTTTGTAGTTGTATTTATTGGAATATGACTTACTCAGTCTGAAATAGCACTGCATGAGAAAAGCATCACCCAGCACTGTGTTCAGCAATCCCATAATGCCTTGCGGGAACTCCGTGATGAGGAAGAGGAGCAGGACAGCCAACAGCATACGTGTGGTGCGATCCGTTTGCTTCTCCTTCTCCAGTGTTTTGCTGTTCTTGCGCGGTCGGTCGGCGGGCTTGCCATTGACCAGCGGTTTGGTGCCATTGCTGGCCATGGGCTTGCTTGTCAATTTCTTTCTCCTACGCTTGGCCTCCAGCAGCGCCATTATGAGACGCACCGAGAGAATGGTCAGAGCTATGCAGGGTATTAGCTTGATCACCATACTGTAAATGAGAAAGGTGGTGTTGCGCAGCGGCTTGTTGCGAAGCGCCAGATCACTGTGATATAATCGATACACTGTGATGTTGCGCACAATTTCAGGAGCCGGCAGTGGCATGGATGTTGTGCTGACATTTTGCCACAATGTGTCGTTGACATTGCTAAAGGATAGCGGAAGTTCTGTGCTGGTGGTGGGCGTGGCATTTAGTGCTGCGGCAACAAATGCCTGTGACTGTCCCTCGTTGTTAAAGTCGATGATGTATTGGCTCAAGGCTATTGTGTTCACCACCTTGCCCTGAGCATCCAGCTGTTCCGTGTATTCGGCAATCGATGTTACCAAATAGAGCGAAGGTGAAACCACAAGCACGCACACCACATAGGCGGTGGCTATGGTTATAATGGTGGTACGCATGCCGCACCACACACGATTCTTTTGCGGATAGCCCACGGCAATGTAACGCCAAACGGCGAGCGTGACGGTCAGCCATATGGATATTGTGTGCAGGACTTGGGCAAATATTGAATGGAACTTGATGAAGCAGACCCACGAATAGCTATACATTTGCTCACGTGGCAGGCTGTCGCTCAATATATAATCATGTATCGTATAGGGTATATACTCCAGCATGACGGCCAAATCGGCTATAGCCAGACCCGTCAATATGGCATTGGTCGGTGAGCGCATCTCGCGTCGTGTCAACACTATAATGTTAAGGGTATTGGCTATGGTGCCCAATATGCAAACCACCAGGGACACATAGCCGTGCATGTTCTTGTAGCTGGAAAGAGAAATAGGAAAAAATACGTAAAGGATTGTTGAATAGAGAATTGAGGGGAGTGTGAGGTTGAGTGCTGGCCAATTCAATTAACTAGCTTCAATGCAGGACATGTTAATGGGTTTTATGTGGAACGAAGTAGTCTAGTGGCCAGCCCAGCTGGTGTTTTTGCGGCGGCTGCCGCTTAATTAAAGCCAAATACGCTCGTTCGGGGGGACTGTCTGTCTAAGCAATTAGATGTGTATCTAACACTTTGCCATTTACTTTTGTGTCAAAGACGTGCCAAATTGCCAGCGACAGCACAGGCAGCGGCTGCTGTGCCTTTTGGGAGCCCGTAACGAGCTTGCAACGCTTGACACTGTCACGCCCAATGTAGCAGCCAGCTAGTCACTCAGACACGGACTTGGAAGTTGGAAAGAGTCAGCGCAGCGCGCAGCACGCAGCACGCTCGCCACAATCAGCCAGTCAAGAAGCCAAACAGTCAGGCTGTCTAGCTGTCTGGCACCCAAGTGCGTCGAGGTGTTCAAGTATCAGACTTAAAGAACTCAAACGGGAACATGTCACCAAAGCAGCGGCACAAACACCCAGTCAGGCAGCCCAACAGTCAGTTCAACCAGGGAGCCAGGTATAGAAAGCAAATCAAGTCAAAAGCTTAAAGCTATGATGCAAGCAAACATTTTAAATATAGGCAACTAAATATTTTTCCAGATCAAACCTGTGCTTTTATAGCGAGATTCAATAAATTGATGTTTCTTTTGAATACTTATTGCCTTCGCCTGTTTATTACTAATCAGTCTGCATTAAATATTATAAGGCTGCAGTCCGGCAAAGAGATTGCCTTTTTATACACCCATATTTTCTTCTTCTTCAACAATTGTTCCACACAAGTCGACTGATAACCAACAATTGCTTAGAATTCAACTCTCAAAAGGCACATTATATAGCGATGTTTTTAAAATGTTTGCTTGTTAGTTGTCCAGTTTTTAAGCATCCTATTTGCCGAATATTGTGAAGAACGAAGTTGTCGCTTGATTAAATTTAATAGCCCTTCTGATCGGTTGAAATTGGTGTCCGGTTTTTGCAACAAAAGAAAATCTCAATCAACCATCAACTACTACGCCTGATTAGTACGGGCTTGGAAGCTTTCCAAAATGTTTCTGACAACATGTTAAAGGACATGCCGGTTCAAAATGTTTCATGATCGTACAAAACATTGTATTTAATCGGGAGCTTGTTATTTTTAATGAAATGAATTCATTTTGCGAAATTATTAGGCTCTGTTCTGCTTTTATTTTAGTCAACAAATGAAACAGAAACTTGGTATTTTAATTAGTTAATGGAACCTTATTTTGTGGACTAAAACAAATTAATTTCTTTAAACCACGACGTAGTCTCTTTATTTAATACATATTATCTTCCTTTACGTTATATTATTTAAGCAAGGAGATTGTATCCTAAGTCTGTCAGTAGAAATTCGCAAATCTTTAGTGATATTGAAAATCTTTGAGCCCAGCTCCTGTATCCTGTATCCCTGGTGACAACCCTTCGCCGCAAATATCAGATTGTTGAGTTGCGCCTTTTTTGCGGCTGGTACGTGACGTATACGCAATATTAATGCCAATGTCAAAGTTTGCCAAACCGCACAGACACATACACAGACACGGCCAAATACAAAACAAGCAATTAACATAAATAATACAGTCGAACATTGCCGAGCCGCAGCAACAGCTTGGGCAGTTGGCAGTCTTCAGACAACGCCAAGCCCCACCCAATAGTAGCTCTGCCTGCCCCCATTGCCCCCATTGCCCTCAGCGCTCGGCATTTAGCGGCCTTTGTTAGTGTCACGACATTTCTCACACATCGACGAAACTTGAAAAATGTTTAATTTTCCAAATGCGTTCACGCTCTGTTATTGTGTGTTGTTGCCATTGCCATTGCCACCTTCTATTTACTTTGCACTTTCACTTATGCTTTCACTTTTGCACGGCAGGCGGTTTCGCTCCCAGTTTGTTTCTCAGGTGAGTATTCCCTGAACAATAAAAAATAATAAATTATTGTTACATGTGTCGTTGACGTTGACGCTGACGAGGTCGACAAAGGTGCTAGCAAAGAGAGCCGAAGTCATGGCAATGCAAGGCTTTCCATGCTGTGGCTCCTCAAGGACAACTCATTGTAGTCCAGCAGCGACTGCCGCTACTGATTCTCTTCTAATGGCTGGACACTTTTTGTAATGGCTTTCAACTATTTTTGGAAGTTTTGGAAGGTTGTCGCAGCTTGAGTGCTGAAATGGACGAAATGCTTTTTATACCCTGTACATGAAATGTAGAAGAGTATATTAGGTTTGCGGGAGATGACAAATGTAACAGGCAGAAGGAGGCGTGGCAGACCCCACAAAGTATATATACTTGATCAGAATGACAAGGTGAGCCGATCTCGCCCTATCTATCTCAGAGATAAGTGATAGAGACACCAAATTTGAGTCCCAGATGTCTTATATGAATACGGAAAATATATATACTCCCCCGCAATTAATGATTTTCCGTAACTCCCATATTCTTGGAATTCTTGCAATTACACACCCTTTACATCAGTTAGAATACCCATTTAGGTAGAATCAATCAAAAATGTTGTCCTTGTTTTTAAATTTTTTTAATTTTATGTAGCATTCTACACATATGTACAGAGTATTTCAAGGTCGCGATACCCGATTTATGCTTCTCCACTTGTTTTTTTTATGACTAAATCCTGCGTCCTGTCCATACTAATACACCGTCTCTGACTGGCATTTATTGCGCTTTACAGTTGTTGGATGCAGCTCGAAGCAATAGGGCTCGGTCGGGACCATCTCCCGCATCAGAATGCCTTCGGAAATTCATTCATCAAATTCACATGCCTGTCGATGTGCCAAACTTTTGCCTGGGGCGAGTGCTGATATTTCAGGGCAATGCATTGACTGGCAATACTGTCTGCTTCGTTTTATTGTAATTACAAATGCTAATGCTTTTTTTTCTCCTTGCCAGCTATACAGCTCTAATTTATTGCTTCTGTTAATCCACCTTGATGAATGGCTGCCTAGAATTCTTCATGCTTCATTGGCGCAGAAATGCGAAATGCGAATGTGTAAAATAAAACTTACAAGCTGTGCAAGAGAAACATAAATAAATCTTGCTTTTTTCGGTTTTAGTCTGGCCATATAGTATATAGAAAAATATATCAATTGAGCTTAAACACATTTGCAATTTACTACAAAAGTGTTCCAGACTTGGCGTTTGGTAAGAATCTTTTAAGAGACATTTTTCATTATTTAAATTTTATATTATATTTGAATACGTCATCTAAAAAGGTTTGGACAGTGTCCTTGGAAAAAAAGAACATCAGTAAGTTATTACTTGTTGTTGTTTTGAGGAAAATGAAAAGAAAACAGAATTTACGATTATTTGCGGCTATTGTAATGGCTTTTCGTCAGCAAAATACTCTCCTATATGTATATATAGCAACGTTTTAATAGTTTTTCTCAATCTCCAATGTTTACGCTACATAAACTTTGCTGAAGCCTGATAAGCAATTTACACCTCCTTACTTTCTAGTTTTACTCTGCACACTTCAAGCTTAATTCGCTTTTTGTTTATTTCTTTTGCTAGCATTAAAAAAAACTGCTAATTCACATGGAAGCAATAAAAAATTTCAATAAAGCTGTGTTGCAAAGAACAACATCATAGCGTACAGACACGAACACCTTTGCTGTCGAGAGATGCTACATTTATGCAATTTTAAAATATGGATTTTTGTATTATTTTTCGAATGGCACACACGCTACAGGCGCTGTGGCAGAACGATAAAATGAAACGAGCTGCAGCGCCTGTAAGCATGCAATAAGTTTCTCGTGATATGGCTGGGGCATTGCTATGCGCATTGCATTGCACCAAGTCCTTATGCACGTATGCAAACACATACCTTAACAGAGGAGACAGGGACAAGTTTGCTTGAAAGTGCACTCAAAACAAATATCTGAAATACAAGTAGTTCGAAAATTGGTTTAAAGAGTGTGGGCTAAGTCCAACTACTACTACTACTACTACTACTACTGAAAAAACGTTGGAACTTAAAGTAAACAAGTTGATTTCTTTTTTAATTTCTCTGCCATATATGCATGAGGAATATTGTTGAGATATCTTTGGTGTTGTCTTTATTTCCATGCCAGGGGCAAACTGCCAAATAAAATTCCCCCAACGTGCCGGAGGCATTAATAGGCGTTATTGTAGAGCTTTTTCTTAGGCTTTCTTATCTTTTAAGTTGAGATTATAATGTTATATTAAGTTATATGTTCATGAGTAGGCACTCCGTTGGAGTCACAGCGCTACCTTCATTGCTTTGATTTAAAAAATACTTTGCCGATTCGCAACAAAATAAAAAATTAATAATATTAATTTTAATGATCATTTTTATTTTGTTTTCGATAATTAAATATTCATGTCAACTGTATCTCGTTTTGTGGTGCTTAAGGAGGAGGGAAATTAGGGGATGAAGAGGGTCTACATATCAATTGTGATCAGTATAGGATCAGCCAATCGAAATCGCTTTAGTTTTCAAACCAAATTGAAATGCTGAACTGGAAGGATGATGTGTTCAAGAGCGAGGGAGAAGAAGTGCATTAGCAAAACCTAATTGCTCCAAACAAAGGAAATTATAAAAGAATCACTTTAGGCTCAACGCATTTTCTGAGTTCCTTGGGAAAGTCTAAAAACTCTGTGATGCCTTCAGAGCGAAGTAGATGAAGGTTTTAAGATTGTAATTGCAGCATTTCAACAAACAAAGAAAGGATTACTTAATGCATTTTCTAATCTGCATTCACACGATTTGTGACCGGAAATGGAATTTCCAAATGCTCGCAGGATAGCTGTGCTTGAGTGTCCTCGAATTTGCGGCAAAACTTGCCTTGCGCTTGAACTTTGCTTATATACATTTTATGCTAAGTCTAATTTGTTGAAAAACAACACTAAAACAACAACCACAACTCAGTACTACTACTCGTGGCAAAAGCAACAGCAATGCCCCAGGCGCCTGCGGCAGTTGCAGCAACCGAAATGAAAGCGTTGAAAGCTGCCTCCGCCGTCAGTTTCCACGGCACGATGTTTGTTTTCCGTAAAATTGTTTGAAACTTTGAGCCTGGCCGGGCGCAGCAGTTGCTTCCATATTCATATATCCTTGTAGTATTGTATGTATGCACTGCTTTTAAAAGGAGCATAAAAAAGCTAAATTTAAGAGCAGTATTTTGTGTAGTTAAATAAACTTAAGGCTGTATTAACTACGAGTGTATCTTATTTTTGTGTTTGAAGTTTTCTTAAGCTGGCTATCAAATGCAAATTTTAATAACAGCACGGCACGTGCTGAAAGTTAGTTAAAGTGCAAGTTTATACTCGTATACTAGAATTATAGTGTTCCAAATTAAATGCGAGTCGAAAAAGACTGCTTTTTATTTGCATGGAATTTTCATTTTTTTTAAATCCATCAACGAAATTCCATGGACAATTTACCATAAAACCGAGACTTATCTAATCCATGGCAAAGTGTAGGGAGGTGTGTGAATTCATTTTGTAAGTGTTTCTGTGGAAAATGTTGGGGTTTAGTTTCTAAAAAAAAATTAAAAAAGCTATTAAGCTTGGTTTTTTATTTGAAAGCAGTATACATTGGCAGAAATGTTTTTTATTCCAAATAAATTTCAAGAATTGATATTAAGCGCAGACTCCATGTCTGTTGAGAACTCTTGCTTATTTTTATTACCACCATAAGAATACTTTAAAATGGTTAGGAATGCTTTGATTTATAAAAATTACTTGTAAGTCAAAAGAAGCCTATTTTAAAGGATTTGTTAAAAATTCATAAAAATTTCCAGGAGCTCCAAATGATGATTATTTTGTTTCTACTTATAGCGTAAGTTTATTTATAGTAAGTTTAAAAAACATGGAATATAGCAATATTTTTATATTGAGATTATGCATTTCTCTCTCATTTTTTATTACAAATTTTAATATTTATTTACCTATTTAATACCTTACAACTTAAGGTAACAAATGAAACTCATAAAAATGAAAATCCTGTAAGCCTTATTTGTTGCTCAAAAATAAAACTCAAAATTTATCACTATATCGGGAATCAACAAAAATTTAAAATATGGATGGGTAAAACAGTCAGAAGGAAGCATCTCCGACCCCAGAAAGTAAATATATTCTTAATCGGCATGACGAGACAAATCGATCTAGATATGTCCGCCCGTCTGGATGAACGCCTGGATATCGGAAATGGCTGAGCGGACATTAACCAAACTTGGTATACAGATGCTCCCAAACCCTAATCGGTAAATTCTATGTTAAGTTATTAGTAAAACAATATCACTCCAGTACTACGCCCACAAGCTGCAGCACCATGTTCGCTCTTCTTCTTTTTGGTGGCAGTTTGTCTGGGTACAGGAAATTTCACTGTCGGGCTTGCTGGACTGTAGCGTTCTCTCTTGTTTCTTCTAATTTACAACCCATTTCTGTAAAACACAGTGGATTAGCTAGTTAGGCATCAAGTTTTTATGAAATTGAAATAAACTTTAGGGTTGCTGTTCTTAACAATATTGTCTCTGCAATAAATGTTATTTCTTTTAAAAAGCGCTGGTTAATTTGCTTTTGTTTGGCTTTCATTCACTATTTCGGTGCCAGCTATAAATCGCGGATTCCTACATGGATTTCGGCATTTGGCTAAATCCAAAGATTAAAGCATGCTTATCATGGCAAGTTGCAGTCGCCATTTTTGTAAGCGCAAATCCGAAACGCCTTTACTAAAATATACGCCTACTTTACGACCGGTTGGCATGCAAGTATTACATACAGTATAATAAACGTTTCCCTTTCACATTTTATGGTTGCAGCAGACTTGGATTTTTTACTGCGCCCAGAGAAACAAATAAATGGAAAAAGAAATGGTGTAAGTGGAAATTGGCATTAAATTGGTTTACCTACAAATTGTTATTTATTTTTCTGGCCTTGGCCATATAACCTTGGCCCTGCCTGCACAAGCGATGTTGATGCGTGCGCTCGCAACATAAACCGCCAAATCAAATCTTTCGATACCACGATAAACGTCAATTTCATTTGCGAAGTTCCAGCAAATTATACGGCAAATCAAAATTTAATCGGTCACAAATCAAATGGCGTCCATTGGGGTCACTACCAGCCCCCAGCTGATGGGACGAAGGACCGCAAATGTCGTCAAATGTGTTTACTACACATGTTAAACTTAATTAAAGCGACTAATCGATTTTTGATTTTCAATTTTATGACGGAAAGCAACATTTCAATACATAAGTACTAGAGTATGCCATCAGCGAATGCGCCCTTGAGACCTTCGCAGCTCTAATGTTGACCTTCCCTTTGGCATTGCACTTACCTGGTATGGAAATTGTCCATGCCGCTGCCGCAATAAAGCGGAGTCGTTTCATTGTTGTTGCTATTGCTGGCCATTGTTGCCGCAGTTGCTATTTGTTGCTGCTGTTGCTCTTGCTGCTTTTATTGCCTCTGACGTTGTCCACAAGGAGGATTTCGTAGTCACGCCAAATGTCCGCTTAGTGCAGCAGACGCTGCTGGCGCTGGGGCTGGGGCTGGCGCGTGGCCAAAACGATTCCGAACATGCATGGAAATGTTGCCGCTGCGGCTCGCAGACGCATTCAAAATGAATTATTGAGGAATGATTTCCGCAGCGCTGTAAAGATAGAGGAGGAAGTGGTTCAAAGGAACACGATTAGTTAAGCTCGCTTTATAATTAATGCGCATTTCAAATTTTTGTTAAATGCCCTCAAGGGCTCGCGCTCTTTAGTTGCGCCTAATAATCGCGTATACGCCATATGGGCACAGGGGAAGTTGTTTATATATTATGTGTTTATATTTCCCCTAGCTTATTAAAGCTGTGTGTGTGTGGACCTTAGCTGGGTGATTTGTGCTTATTCGCTATTACTAGAGATGTTACTTTCAGTTTGTGCTTCACGCGATTTCACTTTCCATTTTTGAATAACATTAATCCGACTTTTGCTTTTTTGAAGAAATAACACACAAAATCAACTTTTATCGTGTAGAGAGAGCTTTGCTCAATTCTCGACATTTTCCGGTCTTTTTTCTGTCACAGATGCCATTGAGTCGCTTTCTAGGCTTGAACACAGAAAGCTTGACTTGCATGAAGACTACTCCGAGTCAATACTTGTAAAAGAGCTAAGACTCGCCGAAAAATGAGCTTGCATAGTTTGCATATAATTTGATCGTACTGTTGATATAGAATTCTTATTAGTTTTATTTGGAATCAGATTTTATTGCGATCTCTAATGTGCATTTCAGCACTTTGAAGAATAAACAAATTATTTCGTTCTAGAAAGAAGTATAAAAATAATGTACACTTCGAAAATGTCTTATTTGTACTTATTAAAAAACATTTTCAACTTAAGAACGTCTTTTGAAATCGGCTTAGACATGTCCGTCTGGATTCTGGAAACGATTGAATGTATCTGGGCAATACGTGTTTATTTTATTTTTGAATTTTCTTGGCTTATGTAGCGCATATCCTTGGATTTGTTGTTTGTTATAAATAAGTTTCGTAAAACTTTTTTTTTAGTAAAAACTTAAAGTCAAAGTAAAATGTAAATACTCTTTTGAGTATTTGTTTTGGTAGCTTTTTTGATGGAAAACTCCTCCAAATATTTTCCTGTTTCCTTTCGATTTGTATTTTTATTAGATTTATGATTTTGACGTTGATTGAATCGTATTCACAATAAATGAACACTGAACACAACCCAACTATACTTTTCAACCCAAACTAAACTTGCACATTTTTATGTAATTCTCTAACTCTATTTCAAATTTCTTTCAAATCGGCCTATTTTCAAAGAGTTAATGGCGAAACAATTTTCTTCTTATTCCTCTTCTCTACTGCTCATATAACAACACATATAACATACTTTTGTCGGCTTTGCTCGACTGTATGGTTCGCCTTTGTTTAACATTGAAATTGATTAAAATAAAGGAAAGCAGTAAAGATAGAAAGTACAAATGGTAATCGGTTGTAGTTTAGGGTCAATCTGTGCTAGATTGGGATATTTTCGTGTTCCGAAAAATTATGAAGCCAGACTGGATAATTGCAATAGCTATATACGAGTATGTACAAGCATTCAAACACATAGCAGATGTTTGGAGAACGATAACTGAATTCGAATTGGAAAAGAAGCCGAATATCAAGAAAAGGCACATAAAAGTAAATCTTTGCTGCCTAAATAATTAAGAACATGAGACCATTTGCTTTTATTTCTTTTCGCATTCTGTATTTGTTGGTCCTGTTATTTTGGCTGTTACTTTTAATGCATTGACATTTTCATTTGTGCGTTGTCTGCTCGGTTCGTGACTGAAACAGTAACAGTATTTTAAACATATTATCACAGATACTGACTTTGACTTCGGGAGCCTTGAGAGAAAGTGACATGAAACGAAATTATCACCACTAGGTTTGTGGGTGGGCTTGTGGGTGCTTTGCTTGTTATTGCGTAAATATTTTATCATGCGCCATGTCTGCCATAAGCCGATTAGCAAATGCTGAAATTTCATTTCAAGTGCTACACATCATGCCGCGCATAATGAGTGCGCGTGTGTGGCATGGTGGCACGTTGCTTAGAGGCTGTTGCTGCTGCGTGGCTTGTCTGACTGCCTGACTGCCTGGCTGGATGGCTGGATGGCTGTCTGCCAGCGGCATTTTTCCTTTTCATGTGGCAAGTTCAGACACGCTGACAAAGTTTATTTCATTTTAAGTTTTGCGGCACTCGCCTCAGAGCTGGCTGGCCGGCTGGCCGGCTGGCCCGACGCTTGAACTTAATTAGTTTCATTTGCGGAGCGCATACAAATGCATTGGTGGCCTGGCCAGCCATCATAACCGACTAACTGCACTGACTGACCCAGCGCATAACTGACTGACAAGATACATTTACTATACGAGTATAAGTATATGCTAGTACGTGTGCGGCTGTGTGTGCTAAATTAGATTTGTTGCATAGCGTGCAGCAGCAAAAGAAAATGCAGATAAATGCGTTTTTAGAAATTGCTAGCACTTTGTCCCCCCGCCCTTGTCCGTCCGCCCTAATGCCTGACTGCCTGAAAAATGTGCCACCATGGGCTATTTGTTATCTGTCATGTGCTCTGCTCTGCTTTTCTATTCTTTTCTTTTTATTTTGTTGTGCAGCCATTTTGGTTTTTGTGGTTGCCTGGCCAGCTCTGCAACATGCAACATTCAATATGCAGCAGTGTAAAGATTTTAATTGCATTTGTGTTTGGCGCTGGGACGCGCGACATTATTGCAGCCATAAGTACATTGCCAACCCAGCTGCTGCTCGTGGCAATGGCAGGGTCCGGGCGGTGCTTGTCCGCTCGTCCGCTCGTCCGTCCTGCAATTAACGCACACCATGGGGCGCAAAACCACAGCGCCAACACCGTTTAAATATGTATGTGTATATGTGCATGGGGAGTGTTTATTGTGTGTGTGTGTGTGTGTGTCATGTGCGGATGTATTTTTGTGGCGTTCAGTCAACAATCCAAATGGATACTGCAATTGCAAGACCCTAATGTTTGAGTGCCGGCAGCTTTGGGTTTGCAAGCAACTTTCGCCAAATGAGCAATGAGGTTAATTTCAGGAAAATTGGCAATCGTTAGCTTTCGCATTTGCAATTCTACACTGCGAAAAAAATGCAGTCAATTGTAAGAAAATGGGCGCACAACCCAAAAATAAATGAAGAACATTAAAAAAAATTCCTATTAAGAAATTTTCTTTCAAATAAAAGAAAGATTCTTCGCTTCGTTACAGTAGTTTTTTTCGATGTGCCTCTTCGGCGTACTCGCAATTATTATTCTGTGTTCCCACGATTTAATTATCTTGAGGATCATACTTAATATCGTCACTATAATTTCAATTGCACTCAGTGCTGCTTGAGAAAAAAGAAAATAGGGTACGATATTTTTACTGATTTTTGTTATTTTTGAGGCGTTTTCTTATTACTTCATAAAATATGATCTCCTGTGGAGATGATCCAAGGATATACTTTGTTTAATTTCCGATCTGCCTGTGAGCCGTTTACTATGTTCTAAATCCTGGGGCGAATCCTCGTAGGTTTCTTTTGCATTTCCGAACGCATTACTAGTCAGACTATTCCGACTCAAACTCCCAGAAAGATTAGCAAATCGGCCTTTTTTTGACAACTTATTCACAGTATCCAGGAAGCTTATTGGCGGACTCAAGCAAGCAAGAAAAATTATATTAGAATGTACTATAAGTCCTGCTAGTAGCTTTTATGCCCTTTATTCCTTTGTCCGCATTCACGATATTAACAAAGTCTTTTAAGCTGAATTCTGGTTCTCTTTGAAAATTGGGTCCACCAACTTAATGTACAAACTTTCTTTATTGTAAAAAAAAACCTTTTTTTGGCATTCGAATAATTTTGAAATGATTATTTTTTATTATTTCTTATTTAAATAAGTAGCAACAATGCACATTTATTAAAATAAGGTTCTCTATATTATGTTTCTGTAAATATTATGACTAACACCATACGTCTATAACATGTACTTATATTCATACAAATATGTAATTTCGGGATGCAGATTGTTTCTGGGGCTACCTAATTTTCGACCAATTTGTGTGCAAATCCGTGAAATGTTTATATTTTTTGTCTTGTAGATTTTTACACGTGGTTTACATTTTTTTCGTATTCAGAATTGGGTTTTAATCCGTTTAGCTATTTATGCGGAAGTGTGGGAGTTGGAAGCAGCTGTTGATATTAAATTACCAGCCACAGGCCATATTCCCTTGACGAGTGTAAGCCGATTAGCAAATTTTACAATAGTAGTAATTATGGCAAGTAATTAGTTATATACTACTTTTTTAATAAGAGGTTCGTTGGAAAATCCACATTAGGTGTAGCAGTACACATCTAATTTTATGCTTTTTTATTTTAAAAATATATATATGATTGTTTTAGTGTTTTTTATTCTCTTCACATTTTTCTGGTATTAAAGGTTATGTGATCCACATTTTGCATCAAATAAGTCATGACTTGATGATTGTGGTTGAGAATTACAATTTTCCAATTATTTCTTTGTAATATATTAATTATTTGTGTCATAGTTGTAGATTGCTTGTTTAAATTTTCTTTTGCTCAAATTAACATTGTCAAATGAAATTGGAATATTTAAATAGTACGTTAGTTAATTCTTAAACTTAAATGACACTAAAGATTTTTTTTATGAAAATAACTTTACATTTTTCAAAACTCTTTTCAATCAAATCAAACTGATGTTGCAAATCTAAACATACGTTTCTTCGTTAAATACCTTTCTATCCAAGATTTACATTAATGCGTTCTGAATACCATGCAACTTTTGAAATAGATGTATTATTAATTAATATTAGTAATTATTTATTTCTGCTAGTTCGTAATTGGCTTGCTGAATTGTCTGCGTTACGATTTACATTTATCCTTGATTAGCAATTGCTTTCATTTGAGTTCCAATTTAAACTCTGCAATTAGGCGAAGTATTAACATTTGTTAGTATTGCCGCCAACGCTTAAATAAATATTAATATATAGTATGTATATATTGCAATAGATGATTGATAATGTTCGTTTGTCTGTGTATTAATTTGGTTTTGCTGACGCAATTTATTCTGGTAACTTAATTTATTGCCTTTGTGTGTAGTTCGAGACGAAGTGTAATTCCTGGAATGATTCGCAATTGAATACCGCAAAAATAACAGCAGCAGGCATTAATTTCATATGCTTTTTGCAACAACAGTCAACTACAATGTGGAATTATAGACGCGT